GATTTTTTTATATTCCATATCTCTCTTCTGTAGCATCATCGAACAATATATTTCAGATAGACAAAATTCTCTTTAACTTTCATATGAAACTTTCTTTTTTCCCTTTTGGTTAGACCAAAAATCATAGTATAGGTATATCATCAGCAACCATTCATTTCCGGTGGTAGGTGGTCCATTTACAATAGGTGATCCTACCACCTCTGCATTATTGTTTGCGGTTCCTAAGTCCATGTCAAGTAACATTTAAGTTGTGTGATAGCGAGTACCTACATTGCAAAGCCAAACCATAGTGGACTCAGCGATTGAATCTGGAGACTCCTTATCTGTTAGAGAAAATGTCGGCCTCAATGTTTTCTCCCGTATGACCTATCTCTGGCCTTTTCTATTCTTCCACGATAACATACCTACCTATTTGTGCTTTAAAAGATCATGTAGGTTTTTGTCGACCCTATAAAACTTCAACACGCCTGCAAGATGAATTGTCGGCCAGTTCAGTAGATGTGTATTTTCGTACCCACTGTTGCTTATCAATATCATCCTGGTGCCTGTTGTAATTGGCCTGTTCTTTAGTTCGCGATCCTTATTTTGCTGGAGTTTATTTTCATTCTTTTATGGAAACTTAGGCTCATAAGTTTGTTTGGAATCATCATAATCTTCCTGATTGGAAGAGGTTAAGCTCGACTCACGTGATTTTTGAGAAAGATCCACGTCGTTCTGATACTATTTCGATTCAGCGATCTAACGCACCAAAAACTAAATCAAGACATACATACAATAAGGAATTCAACTAATAATGGTACCTACGCTGATATTCTAGATAATAAGCCCAGTTTCTCTTTCAAGTTTCAACCTTTTCACTAGAAAATATTTTTCTAAGAATCTTAATAAAGGTATGCTGGTTCCCTTTTACCAAACACATCTTTGAGAAGTTGTACTGGTTTATTCCAGGTTAAAACCATTCATTTGACTCCTTGATTCCTTGATGAAACTTGGGACACACAGAGCTATAGGGTATTCTTTGTTTCCATGCAAATCCAAAACAAGAATTATACCTACAAGAAAGCCCTTCACTGAAAATTAACTAATAATTCACATCACCTAGGGTGGTTTCTTCTTCTTATATCTAGGAAAGAGCAGGACAATATCAAATCTGGGTGCATTCTGTGTAGTTTTGCGGAGCCCTAGGTAATTTATGTGTCCGTTCAATCAACATCTCTAGCTGTAATTTCAAGAATGAAACTTCTTAATACTGATGAGCAAATGCAAGACCAAGACCAAGACCGAGTTAGTCTTGGTCTTACATGCTTATGAGTAGTCTTGGTCTTGCAGGGTCCAGTCTTGGTCTTGGTCTTGATCTCGCACCAAGACTCTTGCAAGTCTTGCATTTATCTGGTAGATTTTTACTAGAGGCAATCTTTACAAAGGAAATTAAAAAAAAAAATTGTTTCTAAAGTAAGTAGAGGTTTAAAGAAAGGGACAGTATATTCCAGTATCAAAATTTTGGTTTCAATATTAAGAGTTGAAGGATCACTTGTTTAAGTTTATCCCTGTAATATTGAAACTAGATAGCATCCACAAAGCGTCTATGGAAAAATCTGTTGGCCCCATCAAAACATTTAGACCCTGAGATAGGACCTGTTTAGTGGAGTCATTTTTTGTCTGGCATTTTGAGTGATGAATACTGATGAGAATATAAGTGGTTTTAATGCCTGCCTCCTGTTCGAAATGTCACAGAATGTTTTGCCGGAAAACTCGATTTCGAACTGTGATTACCGTCTGGCGATTTTTCAGCGTTATTTTCACAACAAAACCTTTTATTCTCTCGATTGCCAGACAAAAAGTAAACGCGGAAGGTTCTTTTCTTTTCTCTTGGAAGTTGACACCCATCCCCATTTTTTCAGCTATTGAAAAGCATCTGATTTTTCATGGGTGAATTATTTATCAATGTCAATCTTTTATTTAAAAGCTAGAAAATTTGAGATCATTAAAAAAAAAATCTTCATGTAAATCAATTTTTTTCTTCTGCAAATTTTCGAACGGGAGGCCGGCATTAAAATCACCCATATTCTCATCAGCTTAGTAGCCACATTCAGAAATTCTAAATAGCAGACCGCTTCATACAAAGAAAATTTGCCTAACAAGCAATAATATAGTAAGGAAGACTATTCTGAAAGTGACTTGTTTGCAAAAAGTTTTCATATGGTTAGAAATTGAATTTCGATTTGTACCTGCTGCCTGAATATCAAAAATCTTCTCTCTTATTTTCATGCAAGTTTGAATGTTTGATGCTAGTTTTTGGTATGGCTGAAGACAAAACGACAAATACAAGGTACAAGAGACAGATACAAAAAATCGAAATTTTGTATTGTGGCATAGCAAGTAAATTGTATCCTGTGTCCATTTATTCTGGGTTATAGCATTGATACACATGTTATTATATTTTTGTCTCTTGTCACTTGTACCAACGTTAGATCACTAAAGAAGTAAATGCCATAAAGAGTTTTGGTGATAGACAGAGGATATACAGCAGATGTAAGTGGAAGCAGCAGTGTTAACTCCCGAGGAAAATTCTATCAAGTGGGGTCAAATAAGGGCCAAAACTCGGATCAACAGCAGCAAAAAGGTGAACAGTTTCCTTGCAAAAAGTGTGGGCTTCAACATGATAGGGGTAAGTGTCCTGTATTTTTTAGATATTGCTCATTATGTCACCAGAAAGGACATTACCGTCAATTTTGTCCAAATAAAAACTCCGTGCATGAAATAAATGATGACTCTGATGGTGAATCACATGATACTCAGGTTGTCTGGACATAATAATCAATAACAATAATTCTTCTTGTGTGGATTCTATAGAATGGTTTGAGACAATTAAAATAAACAATGGTGGTAAAATAAATCTTAAAGTAGCCAAGTGAATATAATTAATCATGGTGAGTTTCTGAAATTAAATATTGACTTCAGTGACCTACAGACTGCCTCTAGCAATCTCTCAAGTTATACGGGACATGAAATAGACATTATTCGGCAAATCGTGCTTAACTGTTAATACAAGAGTGTAACAAAAAATTTGCTTCTTTACATTTCGAACACCAATATCTCAAAGTCTATTTTAGGGTTATAAGCTGCTCAAAGTTTCAATATAAAGTACCTAATTTACATGGTCCTAGCTCAAGTTTAAATAGAACGGTAGTGTTGTAAGCACTGAGCTAGATAAACTTTTTAAAATTACTTTAACTAATGATGCATTGCCTTTTCTATGTGGGACTCGAAAGATTCCTCTTGCATTACGAGACAAAGTTACACAAAAAATTAACGATATGATGCGCGATAATATTATTGTACTTGTGAGCGAACCTACTGATTGGCAGAATCCCATTGTAGTGGTTCCAAAAAACAATGGTGCTGACATAAGAATATGTATGGACCCTGTGTATTTAAACAAATATATTTAACGTGAACAAGAAAGATTTCCGACTCCTATTCAAGACACTTTGTTTTCAAAACTAGCAGGTGCTAATAGTATTTCTCCTTACTTGATGCATCGTCTGCATTTCTTCATTTGCCTCTTGATCATCCAAGCTCACTTTAGTGTACATTTACAACTCCTTTTGGTCATTTTCGTTATTGGAAACTACCCTATGGTGTCTCATGTGGGCCTGAAATTTTTCAGCGTTACATGAACGAACTGTTAGAAAACATACCAGGACAAATTGCCTATTTTGATGACATTTTGGTCTTCGGAAGCACTGTTGCTGAACATAATAAAAACTCAAAATCAATATTGGATAGGATTGAGAAAAGTGGTTTAACACCACTAAACAGGGGAAAGTCCAAATTTTGTGTGCAACAGATCAAATTTCTGGGCCATCAAATAAAGGATATTGGAATATCCCCAGATTATGACAAAACTAAGGCTATTAAAAACATGTTTCCTAGGAATGGTAAATAGTCTACTTATCAAAATATATTCCCAACTTGTCTAATGAAACAAGTGTTCTGAGAAAATTGCTCAGTGATAGAAATGAATGGATCTGGATTGCTAACAAACAGGCATGTTTCTTGTGCCGTCAGAAACGACTTTGCATTATTTTGACCCTAAGAAAAAGACAGTCCTTTCTTTAGATGCCAGCAGCTATGGCTAGGGAGCCATGATTTCTCAAGACGGATGTCCTATTGAGTTTGCATCGGTTTAAGGGATCACTTGTTTAATTTTGTCCCTGTAATATTGAAACATCCTTTATTTCTAATCTATCTATTTTCTTGATAATCTAAAGCAGCTATTTTTTTAATTTTGACAATTTTTTTTGGAATATTTAACTATAATTTGATAAGTTTGCAAAAAATATATATCTAAGTCACTGGGGGTCCGTTGTGCTACCTGGGATTACGGGATTAGAAATAAATCAAAATTATTATTGCTCAATGAAAAAGTGCACATTAGTTATATGCATTTCTCAGCAAATGAAAAATTTGCTAACAATTCCACCTACTCGTGTGCCGGGCGACCGGACTCGGATAATTTGGTACAGCATTTATATATATGTAGATCTAGATAGCATCCACAAAAGCATCTATTGAAGAATCTGATGCCCCATCAAAACAGTCTGAATTTCGATTACTTTGTCAATTGTCATTTGGATCATTTGAAAGCCACATTGCCTGACTGCTAATAGCTAAGTACCTACGTTCGGAACTTCCACTGCGTCAAATACTGGGAATCAAAGTTTAGGTAGGAAGTTGTAGCCAGTAAATAAACGAAATGATATGAAAGCTGATGAAGGGAGAACGATTGGTTTCCAATCTGACGAAAAAAACTATTTTTCCAAAAAATGTAGTATTATAATTAAGTTACTTAATTTTTATCAGCGAGTATAATAATTCGGAATAACCGCCGATATTTGGTATCTAAATTCAATCCTAAATTTCAATTGAAAAAGGAATCCAAAAAAATTCAGCTTGTCCCTCTTAAATTTAAACTTTGGGAAAACGTGGATATGTAGGCGGGCACGACGCTAATGTAAAAAATGCGACGCTATAAGAGAGAGTCCTGCGAAATTCTACGTAGTTAATCTACGTTCCTCTCAAGTGATCTTTAAGTGATAATAACCGGTGTTCAGCTCCTACCTTTATCCAAGGAATTAATAACTCATAAATCAATCAAAATGCCTGGACCATCTAGACCACTTTGGCAAGTAAGTACCTACCTATACCCACGCAGCTTTTTCCCTCCTATCAAACCCACCTGTTGGTTTTGCAGAATGTGTTTTTTCATAATCAGTTTCTGACATATCTATTTGTCACACCACCTACTAAAAATAATGAAACATGAAATAAACAATTATACGCAATTCGAATTCTAATGACTCAGAGATTGTATTACTTCTAAAAATACTTTTGCACATCTTATGCACTCCACCTCGATATATTTTTGCTACGGAGTTAAGGAATAGGATATACAAAACACAATTATTTAAAAAAAAAAACATATATTTTTCGAAAACAAGATATAGGAAAATATACAATACAATATAGATCACAGAATACATTAAAAGAAGATAATAAATAGAGCTGAACAGCAATCAGGCAATACAATTTTCAAGAATTCGTTTAGATTATTGAGTATTTTTAGAGAAAAAACTTATTTTGCAATGTGGTTTTAACGATCTCTGTGTTTAAATGCCCATGACCCTCTCTTGAAATTATTTTTGGAAAATGGGTTATGGACGAAAATTGATTACGTTGAGATCATCGTTAGGGAGAATTTATGTCTGCTAATGAGAAGCCAGAAGTGCCTTTAGAGGTATATACGAATTCATAACAGGAATTCGTAATAATTATTATACAAAGTACATGAGTATGATGTTTGTGTTTATAGTCTTATTGTTTTTAATATCTTTGTGTTATTGTAATTTTTTTCCTCGTCTTTTATCATTGTCCGCAATATCGCCAATAAAGAAGTTGGCAGGGATATTGTCGAATACTTTTTGTAAAATTTCCAACATTATGTCTTCGATGGTTTTCGCTAAAATTGGATTCAAAGATTCTGCAACTGGACGCCAATTGGCATTGAGATAAGCATTTGTTGAGTCCTCTGGAAAAATAACATAAAAAAATTAGAATTTAAAAAGAAACACTAAATGAGAATTTTACATTTTTGCATTATTTTGTAACAGTAGAACAGTACCTATTAAAAAGTGGAAAAGATATGTAGGTACTTAGTAAAGACAAGATAGTGTAAATTATTTTCTCCGGAATGATACATCTCATTTATTATTCACTGCTTAGCAGCGTTTAATTTAGAAATACGCACATCTTCTAAAACTGCCCATACTTTTTCACCTGCTAATTTACTTAAAAATACAACTTAGGGGTAACTGTTTTATATAATTTCGACGGTATCAACATAAATGTTTTCTGGAAATGTTTTCAGTTATCAGTGATAGGTAAGTATATTTATTTCTAATTTCAGTTAAATTTCGTTTTTTGTATTGTAAAATGTTTGTAGGTAGGTACTTTATTTGAAATTATAATCGCAGTGAAAAGTCCCCAGCGATTTCATGCTCGATTTTTTGAAAAACGGCGGCGTACCTACGTCAAAAAAAAAAAACATAAATGAAAACCAATATATCTGACTACTATACTATGTTCCTATGTAAAAAAGGATATTACATGAAAAACTCCCGGAGTTTTTAGTGCCCTGCGCATCTTTTGAAAAATATTCATTCTGAGAAGAAATGAAAATCATTTCCTCTTGTTCGGCTACATACCATTATCTTTTTTTTTCTTATTTATTCTTTTATTAGAACAATAGACTTTCTATCACATTCGGCTGCCTGTTCATATTTTGGGTGGTCAATGATTTGTGAATGACAAACAGGCTCGTAAGAAAACAACGTCATCGTTTGTTGAGAGCTGTTCCCTGGATAAGAGTCCAACAGCATCCTTCATCATTTCAACAGCTATCATCGTAGTCTTGAATCCTGTAGTTAGGTCAAGTCGTTAACTTTCTTAACGATCCTGTATGGCCCTTGGAACGGTTTTTGTGTGGCTAATATCACCAGACGGCGACGCCTTTATTAAAGGTGTTCAATGGCTAACGTGTGTCAAGACTCATTTTCATCCTGTCGCTGCTCAGAAAAACCTATTCTTTTCCTGGTGAAATCATTCATCTGACCCTATCATGGAGATTGGAGATAAGTCACGTAAACTGGAAGTACACCTCCGTCTTCGTCGGCTGGTGGCCTATCAAGTATTAGATCTACGAGAAGCCTAATTTCTCTCCCAATCTATAGCATGGATGGTATAAGAGCCTTAAGGGAAAGGGGCATCCGTTTCTGCAGGTTTTGCTGTTACTGATCCACAAACATCCAGAGCTACTGATTGGTGGTTCGATTCTGTCTCTCGGCCATACCATCGTCCATCACTTGTTTTCATGCTTCGAACGTAAAATTTCTCCTTTGGGCCCCTATTCTCAAAAACATCGTTGCCAGGCAAGGGGTACCGATGAAATTTCATATACCGATCAGGGCCTTTATTCTCAAAACAGGGGAGCAGCGTTCCCATGAGAATGAAGGTTCTGTCTTAGTCGTCCATATATCTATTTCCATAACACTAACAGAGAAAAAGAAATCGTTGTCGTGCGAACGCTGTTCCCCTGTTTCGAGAATAGAGACTCAGCGTTCTTATTCTTGGAACAGCGGAGCAGCTGCTCCCATGTTTCAAGAATAAGGACCCTGATCGGTATGGAGTTCCATCGCTACCCCTTGTCTGGCAATGGTGTTTTCCAGTAATGCTTCAGCTGTATAAACGTTTAACTACTCCTGGGAATCCGCTGTAAGATGAGAACACGCAAAATCTTTACAATTTTCTCGCAGTGGGTACGACAAGTACTTCTCAATTTTTTCTCGGAATCGTGTTTCCTCTTGCCCCATCCTTCAACATCCCTATAACAGTTGATTCAGTAATATCGTTACTCGAGCTAGCGTCCTAATGACTCCAAAATGGCCACCACTCTGCAGTTCACCCCATGATCCGTGTCAACGGTCTGATATACCTACTACACTAGACACTACCAATGCGAATATCTGATTTATTTGATCTTCCATTTCGGGCGGTCTGTTGTCTAGTTTTCACCATAGCCGAAAATTTCTTCTCTCAACTATACCATTTCTGAGACGAATTGTTACTTAAGAAGCAAGATAGCTGAGACTACTCTTCAAAAATGACCTTATAATCATAACCTTTATTCAAGATAATCACACAGAAATCACGATGAAACTGAGACTATTGCAACTCATCGTTCAACTACATTCAAGCTTAACTAGTTGCGAAGCTAAATCGCAACTCACTATCTTACTATCGCCTCGCGTTTCACTAACTCTCCTTTTATAAAGTTATTCGCGATCAACTAACTGCTTCTCAATTTGCCATTGACTCTTTCCTGTTTTCCTCAGCAGACAAGGCGTGGTTGCTTCTAGAATTATCTAAATAATTCGTTTCGAATTCGCTGGATTATTTTTTAGTCATCAGGCAGTGGTGCAATTTCCCCAACTTGAGAGATCTATAACACTTTTTCTAGAAATTTATTTATTATCAAAAATCAAGAACAAATATTTTTCAATTCTAAGCGTCACTTTTTACTTCTTAAATCTACAGATTTCGATGTTCATCAAACAATATCTTACCTAGAGCTTTGATTCCATCAAATAAGTTACCCATATAAAGTTTGAGGCCGCCAATTGTAAATTTCACATGAACAGCAGTTACTTTGAAGAAATCAAAACCATCTCGTGTTTCCATTTTAACATCAGACTTTACAGCTATGTCGAGGTCCTCTGGAAGCGATAAATATCCAAATTAATTGATTAAATTAAATTAAACTTTTTATAGTTTCTCTTACTTATTTTTTCTACAGGGAAGACCTAGAGATAGTGCCTCTGCTTTTGGAATTCGATTTGAAAGAGGTCAGTGGCGGTAGGTATAGGTAGATGAAAGGTGTAAATACAAAAGTTGTACAGTATTGGCTTAATTTTTAAAATCCATGGTCAAAAACAAAAATTGAATATCAGAAATGTGAAATATTGCATGCTTTCAGCTTTTTTCAAATGAGATGTGCTATATGTAATGTCTGCCCAGCGACTCTGTGTCTACGGGGCAACGGTGAGGGGAATGCAGTTGTAAAAAAAATGGCTGATTTCATTCATAAAATACCCAGCTGCGTGCGGAACTTTTTGGTAGTGTTATCGTATTGCAACTCGTACACGAAATCGACAATGACCAAACCGCCGCTACTGGATATTTCAATATAAATCGATATTCCAAGATGGGAGGATAAAATGACGAAAGCCCTGGCCAATAGCGAGTCGTAAGGTGACATTAGCTCATTGACAACCGCATGGTTCCCCGTGGCAACGGCCATTCTGCCAAAAACTCCACCAATCAGGTACATCCAGACCGGATGCTTGCCAAATTGTCAAAAGCTGATGATATCTTTATAAAATGTTTATTTTTCACAAGGGACAAAATTGAAGAAATCAGTTATTAAGATAAGAATAGATCTAAGAACCACGTTGAAATATTTAGCGTTATATTTGGTATCTATATTTTGTTATTAAAAAATAGATTTTCAAATGAACTATACTTCATGCCTAGTATTTTCGCTTTTTCATAATTAAACGTGGCAACATCCCACATTTACGTCCGAATTCCTTTCGTAGACTCAGAACCGCTGGGCAAACAATATTTGGTTCTATATTCTTGAAGAACACAATTTCGCGATTCCAAAACTATATAGTTTGTCTATATTTGGTTGAGCCGTCTCCAACATACTTAGTTCTAAATATTTTAAAAATACTAGCAGAGAAACCAAGTACCTCAAATTTTACCTGCAGCTTTCACCTGTACAGGTAGAATGGTTCACAAAATCAGTAATAGGATAGTATTAGGCAATTCAATCCATCTGTCAAAAAGGAAAATTCAATGTGACGTGGCGGCCAAGCAAGTTTGTTTTGAATATGTTTTTATGCGTATTTTAAATTATTTTGCATACAGTTTTGACTAGGTACCTAAACTATTAATTCGGGCAGAAACTAGATATTTTTTTGTGTTTTTTGGCCCATGTGTGGCCGCCACGCCATCTTGAATGTCACGTGGTTTGAATTGCCTAATTCTTAAAATTTTTGGAGCCAAATACATAGAATGAAATATAGGGCATCCCATTTGAAAAAAGCTGAAAGCATGCAAAATTTCACATTTCTGATATTCACATTTTCTTTCTGACTATGGTTTCTAAAAATTTATCCAAAGCTGTACACCTTTGTTCTACCTGTGAAGGTAAAATCTGTAGGTGGGGTGTCAATATACAGGGTGTCCCACGACATTTTTCCCAGGTAATACCTTCGGAACGCGTCATCCAATATAATTAAAGTTTTGAGGATCTGGGTAACTTTTTGCGCCGCTTCTTCTATTGTCATCCAATTTCACCACTTTCGCTTCAATTTCAGTCAAGTGACGTCAACTTTCGAATCAAATGTAACTCATGGTATATTATGGCATTTTTCATTAGAAAATTAAATTACAAAATCGGCAATGCCATATTTGTTAAGGCTTTGTTGAAGAAAATGATAAAAAAATTATACAGTGGAACATGGGATGATGCGTTCCGAGGTTAACATTTGGGAAAAACCTCGTGGGACACCCTGTATAAAAAAACGCCCTGTACAAATAAGTGGATTATTGCGAAACTTATTGGAGAACCTCTGCGGGACGAGCGCAGCGAGTTCCGCAGCCATCTACTCACCAATATACTGTTGAACTATTCAAATAAGACATGCACCTGAAACGTGTAGTTTTTGAACTAATGAGAAAAATTCGCAACTAGGTGAATCAGGTTAGTATTGTACTTGAACAACATATTGGTGAATAGATGGCTAGGTCCACCAATAAGTTCCGCAACAATCCACTCGTTTGTACTTGAATAACTTGTCACAATATAAGTATTACTAGTTTGGTAAAGTAACATTACTAATTCCTGTTAAAAGGCCCAGTGACAAAAAGTGGATAATCTTACAAATTCTGACTTTATATAATAAGTTATTGTTCAAGTACAAATACGTGGATTGTTGCGGAACTTATGGGTGGACCTCTGCGGGACGAGCGCAGCGAGTTCCGCAGCCATCTAATTACCAATATACTGTTGAACTGTTCAAGTAAGACATTCACCTGAAACGTGTAATTTTTAAACTAATGAGGATAACGCACATTTGATTGAGTCAGTTTAGTATCGCAATTAAACAATATATTGATGAATAGATGTAGGTCCACCCATAAGTTCCTCAACAATTCACTCATTTGTACTTGAATAACTTGTCACATTATCTTACTAGTTTGGTAAAGTAACATTACTAATTCCTGTTGAAAGGCAAATTGACAAAAAGTGAATAATCATAATCTTAAAAATTTTGACTTTATATAATAAGTTATTGTTCAAGTACAAATAAGTGGATTATTGCGGAACTTATGGGTGGACCTCTGTGGAACGAGCGCAGCGAGTTTCGCAGCCATCTACTCACCAATATACTGTGGAACTATTCAAATAAGACATTCACCTGAAACTTGTAGTTTTTGAACAATTGAGCAAATTGACAAAAAGTGGATAATCTTACAAATTCTGACTTCATATACGTAATAAGTTATTGTTCAAGTACAGGGTGTTTTTTTATATATTGACACCCCACCTACAGCCTTCACCTTTACAAGTAGATGAAAGGTATAAATGCAAAAGTTGTACAGTATTGGCTAAATTTTTAGAATCCATGGTTAGAAACAAAAATTGAATGTCAGAAATGTGAAATGTTGCATGCTTTCAGCTTTTTTCAAATGAGATGCCCTATATTTGGTTCTATATTCTTGAAGAGCACAATTTACCGATTCCAAAACTAAATAGTTTGTCTATATTTGGTTGAGCCGTCTCCGACATATTTGGTTCTAAAAATTTTAAAAATACTATCAGAGAAATCAAGTTCATACCTTAAATTTTACCTGCAGCTTTTACCTGTATAGGTAGAATGGTTCACAAAATCAGTAGTAGGATAGTATTTTTACAATTTTTGGAGCCGAATATATGAGAGACTGTTCAATCAAATATAGACAAATTATATATTTTTGGAATCGGGGCATTGTGCTCTTCAATAATATAGAATGAAATATAGGGCATCCCATTCGGAAAAAGCTGGAAGCATCAAAATTTCACTTTTCTGACATTCAAATTTTGTTTCTTACCATGGCTTTTAAAAATTCAGCCAAAACTGTACCTTTCTTTTACCTGTAAAGGCTGTAGGTGGGGTGTCAATATATAAAAAAACACCCTGTACCTACCTATCTAAAATCACCTTATCCTCCTACCTAGTTTCCCCATTCCCATATTTTTGTGGGCCATTCCTTCGAAAAACCGCACAATGCGCTGCCAAAACTAACCCAAACTAGCCCAATCTAGCTTACTTTAACTTAAACTGCCCCCCCCCCCCCCCCACCCCTTTCAAAAGGCCTGTATCCGCCCCTGAAAGAGGTTATAAAAACTGAAAACTGATACCTAAATAGTGAAAAGCCAGTTTTCCGTCATAATTTTTCACTCATCATTTTTTATATGTTTTGGCTTTTAAAATCAAATCTCAGAAGCAGAAAAAAAGTTAGGAGATAGATCAATGTTCTAATTTGTTCTCAATTATTCTTGACCTCAGAACGCAATGGAAATTCTAACAAAAAAGTAATTAGCGTTTAGCGATTTCTAAATTTCACAGATAGGACGTTTTTTCAACATAAACACCACAACAGTAATTAATCATTCAACAAAAACAGAACAATTTGGCGGGTTAGGCATGTGCGTTCCTCAATGCTTAAAAATAACCCTAAAATTTGGCACCTAATCAAAATTTGAAAGCACCATCTTTACGGTTGTACTGAAAACTGGCGGAATAGAGTGTGTTGAAAATATTGATATATTTATTTAAAAATTTTGCAGATGGAGCCAGCTTTTAACCTTCATGCATTTTTTTTCTATAGATTTCTAAGAATAGACTAATTTAAAAATAAGTATATACTCACTTGCATCAAACCAACAAACACCTTTTCCCCTCAAAGGTATGACCAAAATTCTACCGAGAAGCTCATAATTACCATCAATTCTCATTCGAGGTAAATGTAGCTTAGTAAAAAAATCATATGTATCAGGATCGACGGTGTTTAATACAATTTTTGTGTTTCCAAAGCCTATTACCGATACATCTGTTAGAGAGGCATTTACCGTAACTGGACCACCGCCTCCTTGAAGAATCTAGAAAAAACTTTATCAATATATACAGCATGGCTAGATGAAAAATGACTCGATTCCGTCAATTTTATTTTCGAGAGAGAATCTTTTAAAACATAATAGTCTTAACTCCGATTTGAAACTTTTTGTTAAGGGTGAGTTTTAGAATGAAAAGGATGTACCATGTTTGAATGGCATTTTGATCCTCTTTACTGTCATACTTAGTTCATGCGCTCTTATTTTAGCCGTTTTCAAATAAACGATTTTAATTTTCGGGGAATTATTTTATAATTAATAAGATCCCTAAGAATTGAAATGAAAATGGGGTTGCAACGGATTTGTTGTTCTACGTAACAAAGAATCGACTGATATTGGTTTTCTACAAATCAGAAATTGAAATCTGAAAGAATATTTACTACAAACAAATTTAGTTTCCAATTTTTCGAACTCGTGTTATCGCTTTATGAAATTGGTTTATAAATAGGAAACTCAAGATTATACAGACAAAAAAATTGAAGAACCTCGTAACCGAACGAAAGCCAGACTACGGAACTGACAAATTGGTCAAGTCATCTATACCACCAAGAATCTATGGGCTACCAAAAATCCACAGGATTGAAGTACCGCTAAGACCGATAGTGAGTGCACCCGGTACACCTTACATAATATATAGCTTATCTGCATCTCTGCTTCAACCTCACACAGGAAATAATTCACAATTCTCCAGCCTTAAAATATTTTGGTCATTTGTGATGTGACATCCGTATCCCTCATCAAAGTTCTGCTGATGAAATCTCTGGATTTGATTCCGATGATATAGTCAAGCTCTTCCAGGCTCATCACATAGGCAATTACTTTCTGTGAAATGGTAACTTTCGACAATGTGGCTATGGGAAGCCCATTTTTGGTGTAAAAATTTTTGAGGGGAAAGCAATCGAGTCCCTTGACCTCAAAGTGGCAGTATGGTTCTAATACGTGGATGAAACCTTCGTTGTTTGGAATCATGGAAGAGAAAGACTTAGATTATCTAAACGCAGAGTGTACCCGTACCGTGAAACCACACACAGTGATAGGTAACTGCATGCTCTATCCAACCGCCACCTTAGTCAGAAGCGTAGAATTATAACATTAACGGAACTTTCTTGAAGAATCTGTCAATTAGAGCATGTGGAAGAAGAACCAATTCACCTCAAGAAAGCCTTTCATTCTAACGTATACAGTGCAGCTGCGATTGACAAGCGTATGAGACCTGAATATTGTTTACGTGAAGATTCAGATGAGAAACCAATGAAAACACTGAAGCTTATCTAAATTTGAAACCCCATCCTTCGAAACATAATAAGAACAGGTTACACAACCGCCCAGATGAAAAAAAACAACGGAAGCGCGTCAGACTGCAATTCTGAATCGGAAATGAAAAAGCTAGCCACTCTTGCTAGCGAAACATCAGGAAGAAATATCGACTTATGATGGCGATTAAGCCCAAAAAAGAACCTTTAAGTAAAGTATTGATTGGTTTTGATCGGAACTATGGTGAGCATTTGGAAAATGGGAGATATCCTACATGTTCACTATCTTCATGACCAAATTTGAAAATTACCGTGGAAGAGCTGTAACAAGTTCGATGAGAAGAATTCATGGAGGCGTTATTGAAAATGGAACCAGAGAAAAGTTTTCGAGACGGCAGCTCGATAGTGGCTTACATATCTACACTAACCCAGGTCATAGAAAAAAACTATACAGAGAAACCAAAAAATATATTTACTGTTCATAAGATCTTAAAAAAGCCCATGACAATGTTCCTATTCTTAAGCTATGGGGAAGTCTAGAAACAGCAAATAATACTGAATTAATAAAAGCAGTTGAGTTACTGTACGACCAACCAATAACAAAAATCAAAGCCAACCTTCCAAAGAAGGTCACAGTGACAAAGGGTTCGCTCCTCGAAAACGGGATACTGCATATCTCATCAGAAAATTATTCACAAATATAGATTAAATACAGGGTGTTTTTTATTTATTTGTCTCTACCAGTAGTACCAGTATCTATTTGTGAAAAAAAATTTGTCCGTATATTCTCTCTCAATTCCGAGATAAACGAAAAATATAGGTACGAACTTCAACCCCTTCAAAAAGCTAAAGATCTCGCCAGCTGTCCAGTCCATAGGATTATAAATAATTTAAATTTAAGTTTATTTGGATAGTTTTCTATTTTTCTACCAAAAACAACAAAAGTTTCACAAAAACTGATCAAATTATTTTTAAATGTCCCAACAAATTACACAGATGTAGACGTTGGCTTTAGTCCAAAATAAATTGTGTGCTTTTAATGTTTTTCACTATTAAAAATCAACCATCCGTATAACAAAATAATTGAAAAATAGGCTAAAATTAAAAGTAGCTACAGAGTTATAAAATATAAAATATTATTACCTAGTTATTGGATAATGATCTTCGCGGTTTGTTGGGCAAGATTATTATTCAGAATAATAAATTAACTTGCGAAAATTATTTTAATACGAAATGCATGTTCCAACTTTATGATGAAAGCTTTACCTTACTATGCATGCAATAAAAAAAAATTGTGCTTAATTTAAAATTGCTGAAAAGATCATCAAAATTCAACTTACTTTTACATAAGGAACATGTAAAGGATCCAAAACTTGCAAACCTATGTGCTCTACGCCTTTTGGTATTTCATTGAATAGAATTTGAACAGCGTGTGTGGAACAGTTCACAAATTCTTCTCTGGTTTTTGTAATCATGCACGTTTTTACGAAATCGGCTAAAAATTAAATTCAGAATAATCAAGATATGTAAGAAATATTTGATTGATGTAGGTCAAAGAAGATCGAGTCGCCATTTATTTTATGTGCGTTTCTTTCCAATTTTGAATTGTGATGATAAGCACTCTGTTCACTATTATATAAACAACCATTTGCTTTATGAAAAAGGAGAAACTATTGATCTTATTTATGTTATTTTCAAATTTGTGTGCTAAATCTATAAGGACAAGGATCGTGGAAGAATGAAAACTATTTCATTTCGGCAACGTTTCGACTTTAGTCTAGTCTTTTTCAAGCCTCAACATTTTTTTGATTTCTTGATCCACTCGATATCAGTGCTGCCAGATCAGTTTGAAGAAAATATAACGAGAAACCAAGAAGTTGTATATTCAGGAAAGTCGCTCAATTATATTACCAGCGTTTGGTTCATGCATTCCAACCCTTTATTTGTCCCTTAAAGTCGAAACGTTGCCGAAATGAAATAGTTTTCATTCTTCCACGATCCTTGTCCTACAGCCCAAGAATTTGTTCATTATAATTTTATTGAGGACACAAAATGGCTCAAAATAAATCTATGAGTTTTAGAAATTCTCAAGAAATTTAGAAATCAATCAGATGATAATAAGAAACAGTTTGCAATAATTTCTGACTAATTTTAAAAAACCTGATTGATTTTGACTAATTTCTCATCCCTTATAGCCAAATTAAATTTTTCCTTACGTTGCACATCAAAAATTTTAGCGCAAACAACAAAAACACACTGACACAAAATCGCCCATTGTGATACGACTCTTGGACCCATATTTTAGCACCGCTCACGTTGCCGGTACGCGTAAACATGGCATGCTAATTAAAATGTATAACATTATGTCCTATTCTGCAATCTGCAGGCCACCAAGACTCGCTTAGATAACTTTCACTGCTAGGGGGATTGCTTAGCTAGGTTCCATATGGGTTTGTATATACAGACAGATTATGTAATTTTTGGCAGTGCTATTCAGGTATGTGCTATGCCGGTCGGTATCTGGTATCTCATATGTAGGTAGTATAAGTAGTATGCATGGTGCATTTATCTTTCTTTTATTGCCGCATGCAAGGAAATGCATTCTACATCCAATATATCGAAGAAAGACTTCAATGCATTTATAACATCTTTTACAGGGTCTTGATGGTGTTTCGTCGCATTCTTCTTATCAAAAATATTGTCTCACTGATCTAAACTAAATTGGGGTGGAATATTTTCAATAGCTTAGTCAGCGTCTCACTAGAGATGGTAATTTATTCGATTTAAATTATAACTATTGCCACGTATTCCACGGTTCCACTTTAACTCTTTTTACCAACAATAATTCTCATTTTCAAATTACAAACTACACTCATTATTTTATAAAATCGATCACTCGAGATATATCTCTAGAATTCTCGTAAATTTTTGTTCATGCAAATCACACAATGGAAACGGATTCCTGTAGATTCGCTCTTTGGTCGAGTACACTGGCGTCATCTTTTCCGCAGCAATGTAATTTTGTAACACTGCCTCCTTCTAAAATCAACACCCTGTTGTTACATATTCTCATGCGTGTATCCTCCTCTCAGATCCATAATCATCCCATCTATTATTCTGATTCTCCATCTCCCTACTACCTGAGTACTACTTCTATGTTCTTCGTCAAACTCGTAATCATCCTCATCATCCCAATCATCTGCATGGCTTAACATCTCAAGCTTGTCGAATGAATCCTCTCTGTGATGCCTTCCTGTCTATCCAGCTCTACTGTCACGCCACGTCTGCTGATGATTTTATCCATGGATTGACGTTACAGGAATTGAAATTCCTAGTTGACTGCATATCTCTCGTAGTATTCCTCATAAAATCTGTAGAGCGTATAAGTTTGACCTTCTGAGCAGTCGTTTCCCACCGATCTTCTCGTTCCCAGTTTTTCTTTACTCCCCAGATTTTTGTTCCAGTTTGTTGGCGATCTATTTCCAGATTCCTTATCTTCTAAGCTGTCGGGAACTCCATTCTTGATCTGTTTCAAATCGGAGGCATAGGAACTTCTTCACGCTGATCAATTCTGAGGAAATTTTTCCATTGAACTTGGCATGGTCGACTGGATAAGGCATCTGCGTTGTTATGCAGTAATGCAGCTTACCAGAAAATCGCACTGGTAGCAACTTTTCCATTGAAGGCTGATAGTCACCAGACCAAAAGAGCGAGATCTGAGCCGTATTCTACAGTCACGTTCCAAATTTCCTCTACTTCCGCAATGGTAACAATCAAGCCAAAAGGTCCCTCTTGATTGCTACCACCTACCAACCATTCGTATGTCTTCCAGGACTACGTTCCTTCATTGTGTCTTTAACTTCTTATTTCTTCTTTTGGTTCCTTTTTTCTTGTATTGATACAACTCTGGCTTTTGTATTTGTTTGTATATCTCATAGGCCGCTTCGATTTTTATACTTTTTAATCAAGGCCTCCGCTGCTTCTTGATAGTTCAGTCAATTAGCAGCATTACTTATCTGTAAATCCATATTTCTTATGTATTGATGAAGTTTACGGCAGCTAGTGGTTTCCAACTTTTCAATTTTGTGGCGGAAAGTTCCAACTTCCTGACGAACACGTCTACACGTAATTCATCCATTGCATTCTTGAATTTATTATCTTTTCCTTCCAGAATTTTCTCTGTTCCTTAGAAATTACGGTCCTTCTTCTTACCTTCCTTCCTGTCTTCGGCCTTTCTCTTCTCGGCTTTTTTTTTTAAATCTCTGATGCTCTTATTGTAGTAAAAGTACTCCAAGCCGGTCCTGTTTTTCTTGTTTTTGGGTTTCGGACTTCTCCTTCTTGACTTTTCTTTGTCTTCGGTCTTCTTCTTTTCGTTCGGTTTACTTCTAGTTTGTGATCTTCTTGTTGTTGTAACATTGCTGCAAGCTGGTTCTGTTCTTCTTCGCCAAGGATCACTTTATCTTGAATCTTGATTTTAAATATAAAATCCAGTGGTAAAGTCAAAATTCTTTTATGGTGTCTAATTTCCATTTAAAATACGATGGAATTTTAAAGAAAAATCACTCTTTGGCTTTTCGATGTCAAGATCAATAATAAAATCATTAATAATGCAGGCGAATTCAATCACTTTGTCACAGTGGCGCAGCCAGAAATTTTTTCTGGGGGGGGCCATGCAGAAAAAATTATAGGAAAAAACACAGACCCACTATCCTTTAAACTTTTTATGATATAAGCTTTTGTCTACTCCATTATTTTTCTATTTTTCTCTGAAGCCTTGGGGGGGGCTCGGGCCCCCAGCCCCCCCCCCCCTGGCTGCGCCACTGCTTTCTCATCAACTGTAAAATAGATTGTCACAGTGGCGCACCCAGAAAATATGTTTTGAGGAGGCCCTACATAGGTTGTGGATTGTGACTGAAAATCTAAAAAAAAATGAGATGTCAGGGTGCCACACCTTGATGTTGCTACATTTTTTAAACGTAAAAATACAGTTTTGGAGGGGCGGTCTGGGGGCGGGACTTGGCCCGATAGCACTTTCCCTGGGTGCGCCACTGGGTTGTTAAAATTGTTGGAGGTGTAGTCAGCAAACCGTAGAGGATTCAAGTCGTTTGCCGTTTAGATATTTATGCATACTATTTGTTGACCAGTCTAGTTTCTTGAATATATTAATTATTTCTAGCATGAGAAGTTTCGCCTCGCATATTTTCTTTCATGTGTACCGGGTGTCCAAATAAGAAAGGTCGCCGGCTATATCTCAGGAACTATTAGTCCTAGAGCTTCCAAATAACAAAAATTTTCATAAAATAGGCCATGGAAAATTGCTGGAAATAGTTTTCAAGTTTATAAGTTGACCACTAGGGGGCGTAACGAACACTCGAAAACATAAAACTGTGATTATCTTCAAAAAACGCCTACTTAAGGTATCCTAAAAATATGATTATTGAAATCTTGATGAAATTACGAAAAAATTTTGTTAAGGATTTTTTTCCCTAACTCTTCAAATAAGAGGTGGGGGAAGGTTCAAACTTGTTAGGAACAAAAGTTATATAACTTTTTTGTTTTTCAACCGATTTGAATGAATCGGGTGTCATTTGGAAGATTTTTTTTCTGTTCAATAAACTGCATAACAAAAATAACAAAATTAAATTGTTTTGTTGCCGCTAGGGGGCACTGTGTCTAAAAGTCGACAATTTTCCATTTTTTCTCGAAAATTTCAAATATAATGATGCTTTTTTTTATAATTTAGATGGAAAGAGGATAAAAAAAATAAGGAATCTGGTGAAAACCGCAAGTCTGAATCTTGTCCTAGCCCAAAATATAAATAAACAACTATTTTAAGTAAAAAAATTTTCAGAAAAAACCTTCTTGCCTTCCTTTTCGGGATAAAACAAAAAAAATCTTATTTTTTTACGGCACTATAAAATTAGTAAGAAGAAGAACTACTTGTGTGTCTGAAAGTAGCTGTCAATTCACGATATCAAGAATTGAAATTGAATTGAACTATAGTTATTTACATTCCAAGCTGCGAAAGCGCACTTTTAGGTGCGAGGTATATTTAATACCTATAAACACCTAAATAGTTATTTACATTCCAAGCTGCGAAAGCGTACTTTTAGATGCGAGGTATATTCAAATAGCCGAGGCGAAGCGAAGCGCAGCCTCGGCTATTTGAATACCTCCGAGCACCTAACAGGACTTATGCAGCGTGTAATGTGTTAAACTTTTCATCCTTTCCCCTCAAAAATCGCGAATAGGTATGCGAAATTGCGAAAGTGAAACATGCTAGTAGCGAAAGTGAAAGTAACTACTAGTATGTTTCAAAGATATGAAAATCAACTTTTGTAGGGGGGAGAGTGAAAAGGGCTTTTGTAGCGTGTAACGTATTAAACTTTTCATTGTTCCCCCAGAAATAGTAGATTACATGCGGAGGTGGATAGTGTTTCATTATTGTCGAGAGATACTATGGTTTACCGAGGTGCGAAGCGCCGAGGTCAACCAATTCTCGAGACAGTAATGTGAAAACTTTCCACCGAATTATGTATAATATTATTTGGAAACATTAATTATTGAAAAAAAAAAGGTAAAAAAATGACAGAAATGAAATTTCGACTGAGAGTCGGAAACACCGACATTGACATCTTATGAAATTTCAACAATGGATGAGTTCGTTATTGTCATCTTTTTCGTAGATTTGCTCCGAAATTTTGACACGCACGTGACTGGATCAGACAGTTTCAATTTACAAATCACGTGCGTGTCAAAATTTCGGAGCAAATCTACGAAAAAGATGACAATAACGAACTCGTCCATTGTTGAAATTTCATAAGATGTCAATGTCGATGTCAGACTGTCATTCGAAATTCCATTTTTGTCATATTTTTACTTTATTTTTTTTCAATAATTAATGGTTCAAAATAAAATAGTAGGACAGAAAAAAAATCTTCCAAATGACACCCGATTCATTGAAATCGGTTGAAAAACAAAAAAGTTATATAACTTTTGTTCATAACAAGTTTGAACCTTCCCCCACCTCTTATTTGAAGAGTTAGAGAAAAAAATCCTTAACAAAATTTTTTCGTAATTTCATCAAGTTTTCAATAATCATATTTTTAGAATATTTTAAGTAGGCGTTTTTTGAAGATAATCACAGTTTTATGTTTTCGAGTGTTCGTTACGCCCCCTAGCGGTCAACTTATAAACTTTAAAACTATTTCCAGCAATTTTTCATGGCCTATTTTATGAAAAAAAAATATATATATATTTGGAAGGTCTAGGACTAATTGTTCCTGAGATATAGCCGGCGACCTTTCTTATTTGGACACCCGGTACATACTGCCATTTTGAAATTTCTGTGGACGCTATATGAATAACCTGTTGTCTGTGTGTTAACTAGAGTTTTTCATTAC